CGCACGCACGCACGCACGCACGCACACACACACGCACACACACGCACACACACACACAGCACACACACAGCACACAACATACCCCAAACCCACAAACTCTGAAAGGCACCACAAGCATCACCACCTCACAAAATCGTGCGCTCACCCCACCACCCCCAGGGCCGTCGAGGGCAACACCCTGCCTGAAAAGCTGAAGCAGGTGGGCAACGCGGTCCCCTTACTCATGGGCATCGAGATGACCGCCAGCGTTGTGCGCGCGGCGACCGGCGGCGACCCGCCGCCCGGCGGGCACGCGGGCTACCCGCTGCCAAACTTCCAGGTGTGGCGCAAAGCCCGCAGTTTGGGTGGTTTGAGTGAGCCGGGATACGGGTTTAGGGTTCAGGGTTTCAGGATGTGTGTGTGTGTGGGTGCGCGCGTGCGTGTGTGTGTGTGTGCGTGCGTGTGTGTGTGTGTGTGTGTGTCACTGCGTGCACTTGTTCTTGTGCCCATTCCCGGGGCGCGCTCAAGGCTGTCGCGTGAGCGCCTCTGCACGCGGCCACATCTGTGGGTGGCAGAGGCGGCGGACGGGGCGACGGGCATAGGGTTGCATGTGCGCGTTGCGCCTGCGTGCGGCGTCCATGCCCTGCCATTCCTTCGGCCGGTGAGGTGGTGGTGTTGAGCCGCATCTCGCGGCGCCACCGCTGCACGTACCCTCTCCACCTGGCCGGGCAGGATGATCCCGATCGACAGCCGGGGGTGTGGCAGGCGCTGCAGCAGCAGCAGGAGGAGCAGGAGGGGGAGCAGCAGGAGCAGGAGCAGGAGCAGGAGGAGGGGGACAAAGCAGGAGAAGAGGAAGGGCAGCAGGAGGAGGAGGAAAATGAGGTGCGGGTGGAGGTGGCGCAGGATCATCGTCGGCAGCAGCAGCAGCAGCAGGAGGAGGGGGATGAGCACCAGCAGCAGCACTCTGACGGCTTTGAGTGGGGCAAGGGCCTGCCAGAGCAGCGGACGGCCGCATCCAAGAAGCGGAAGCGCAGCCGCCCGCGGGCGCCAAAGCGCGGCGACGCGCCCGCGCGTGCGGGGAAGCGCAGCGCCGCGGCTGCCCAGGCGCGAGCGGCGGCGAGTGCGCGGCCAGCGCCGGCAGGGCTGCCGCCGGGCGCGGCGAGCGGCGCGCCGCGGCTGGCGGCGGCGGCCCGCTTCCGGACGCGGGGGCAGCAGCAGCAGCAGCAGCAGCAACAGCAGCAGCAGCAGCAGCAGCAGCAGGAAGTTGTGGATCTAGTCACCTCGACAGAGGAAGATGAGGAGGAGGAGTCTTGGGGTGGCGAGGGGCAGGAGGCAGACAGCCGGGTTCATGGCAGCGGAGCTGGCCGCGGCGGCGACCCAGGCGGGCGGTTGCAGGGCGAGCCGCCGCTGCGCCGGCGGCGCCTGCACGCCGGCGGGGCCAAGGAGGGCGGGGAGGAGGGGCAGGCGCGTGAGGAGGGGTCGCCGAGCGACAGCCGAGGCGCCAGCGAGCTGGTTGGAGTGCAGCAGGAGGCCCCTGGCTTTCCACCGGGCACGACGCAGGCAGGGGCGCCGCCCACGCCCCCGGCAGCGTCCCCGGGCGCGCCACGGGGCGATGCTTCCAGCTGCGGCGGGAGCTGGAGCAGCCCTCGTGCGACGCCGGCGGCCGTGTTGCCGGAGGCTAGCGGCGGCGGCTCTCAGGGTCGCGGCACACGCGGCGGACTGGCGGCCGTGGTGGCAGTGGGTCAGAATACAGACCCACCTGCGGCGCCAGCCCCAGCAGACCCGGCTGTTCGTGAGCGGACGCGCGAGCTGGGGGCCGTCGGGGCGCCTTCGAAGGCAAGGGGACAGCGGCGTGCCCAGCAGGCGCGGCGGAGGGCGGAGGGGGACGAGGGGCCGGCCTTGGTCGCGCTCGAAGAAGACGCGGGAGGGCAGGAGGACGGAGGGCAGGAAAGCGCTGCCGATGCAGAGGGGCTGGTGGCCGGCGGGGAGGGAGAGGCTGCAGAGGGCTGGGGGGCCCATGCAGTGGGCGCCAGCCCCTCGCCGCTGCCCCCGCAGCCACCGCCGCGGGGCGCGGCGGCGGCGGCGATGAACGAGTCGCACAAGGCGCAGTGCCCGCTGCCGCCTGGGCGCGGCGGCAAGCGCAAGGCGCAGGCGCCGTCTCGGCATCCTGCGTTCGGGCCACAGCAGGGGGCAGTCGGCGCGTTTGGGGAGCAGCGGGCGGATAGACTGCACGGGATTGGAGGGCAGTTGGGCGCCACGGCACAGGAGCAGCAGCAGCGGCAGGAGCAGGAGCAGGAGCAGCAGAAGAACGAGCAGGACCACCTGACAGGACGCAGCCGGAACCGAGACAGTGGGTTTTACAGCTGCGACGATGAGCCGTGGCCGCCCAGTGGCCTCCACGCGGGGCAGCAGCAGAATCAGCAGCAGCAGCAAAAGCATGAGCAGCAGCAGGAGCAGCCGCAGCAGCAGCAGCAGCAGCAGCAGCAGCAGCAGCAGCAGCAGCAGCAGGCAACTGAGCACAAGTACCAGCAGCAGGAGCAACAGCAACAGGGCCAGAAGCAGCAGCAACGGGACCAGAAGCAGCAGCAGCAGCAGCAGCAGAAGCAGCAGCAGCAGATTGAACATCAGAGGCGTCACGGCCGCACACTTGAAGCGGCGGTTGCGAACGCAGCGGCGCCTCCCGCTCGCAAGCGCGCCGCAACAGATGCGGTTGTGGTTGCGGAGGCCAGGCAGGGCGGCCCGGCGACCAGCAGCGCCAATTTCACTGCCGGCGGTGCAGCGGCCTCCAAGCACGCGCGTGCCTCTGCGGGCCGCCCTGATGGCGGCGGGGCGGTAGGTGGCAGCGGTTTGGGTGCGCGCTGCGCTCGAGTCAGCCGCAGCAAGCAGGCGACCGAGGGCCGCCGCCGGGGCGACAAGGCGACGCCGCTGCCGCCGCAGCAGCAGCAGCAGCAGGAGGAGGAGGAGCGATGGGTTGTGAAGCAGGAGCAAGCGCGGTCGCCGCAGCCGCCGCCTCGTGTTGGGGGCTGGAAGCCGAGGTGGCCCACTGTTTGCGCGCCACCGACTCAGACCGATTTCGTTGACTTGACCGGACTGGATGACGACGATGACTAAGGGCGGAATCTTAGGGCAGATGCGCCTGGCAAGCACCGCGCCGGCAGACTTCTCCACTTGCATTTTGTCTGAATGCGACGCCGCCACGCCGCCCCTGTGCTTCTGTTGCTCTTGGTTTATTTTGAGGCCCATTTCATTGTATCAGTGTTCCACTCGCTCTGCTGTATGCATGCCTTTCGTTCAAATCTCTGCTGAAGCTGCCATCGCGTTTTGTGGACTGCAACTGTGGACTGCCATGCTGCATGTTGCTGTCTGGGCCAGGCAACCCGCTGCAGTGGGGACCTTTCATGCGTGGGCTCATGTCTGTCAGGGATGGGGCGGCGCCGCACCAGACCAGGGCCAGGTCGGCGACACGCAGCAGAGCCCTCGAGAGCTTGATGGCACAGCTTTCAGTACAAATCATATGCCTCAGTGCACGGAGAAGTAGCCTGACGGGCAAGAGGAAACGGTGGCTCATTGGCGGGCGTCCCCTTGGAGGTTTGACGCATTCTCAAGCTCTGGCAAGCGCGACCTGACAGGGCGTGTGCTGACCCCGGGGCCGGGCGCGTGCATCATGCACTTCTGAGGCAGGAGCAGGCACAACAAAGCAACCACACGGTGGATGCAACCCCAAAGCAGACAAGCGAGTGTGCAGCTCTTGGTTTCGGCAAGGAAGGGGCTGCAGGCCGTGAGGCCAGCGTTCCCTCCCGCCTACTCACAGGGCGCGCCACGGGGAGGCGGCTGCAGGGTGCGCCCCGCACTCACCTCGCGCCGTCAGACTTACCAGGGTGGGATGGTGGAGAAAGCGGGCCGCGGCCCCTTACGGGGAGCCTTACGGGGATCGGCCAACCGTTAGGTCAGACAGCCTTTCAGCCATCCCTTTCCCCCCCGCTTGGCTCCAGGGGCGCTGAGCAGTATCGCTGCACCAGCAGGGGTGCAGCACTGCCGCGGACGCCCGTCCACCCCCTGCCCCAAGCGGGCGCGGGGCTGCCTGGGAAGGCAGGGGCTGGGTTCCGAGCGCACCCGGGGTCCCGCAGCCCGTGTTATGGGCGATTTGGTCCCGAGGCAGGGCGAACAGCACTGGAGGACATGTCACAAACCGATCGCTCGTATGAGAGGGACGGAGGATACATGATGAGTTGCTACATAGAAGAAGATAGCTGAAACATTTCGTACATGCGTGTGGGCCTTTGAGGCAGTGGAGAGGTCAGATGACGGTTGTGTTGCTGCACGTCCGCCTGCCGGCGGTGTTTCGCCGTCTGCATGATGGGAGAAGTGAAGCATCCATTTGTCTGTCACTTTTGTAGGCGAGCTCGCACACGCCTGGTTTCAAGGGCACGGGCATGCTCGGCTTGGCGCTCTGATGGCAGCGGGGCGGCAGGTGGCATGGGTTCTGGGGTTCACCATGCTGACGCGCGTCGCATCAGCCGCAGCAAGCAGATACGCAAAGGCGGCCGCCGCCAGGACGAAAAGATCCCAAAGCTGCTGCGGCCGCACCCACCGCCGTCAACGCCACCGCCGCCGCAGCAGAAGCAGCAGAAGCAGCAGCAGCAGCAGCAGCAGCAGCAGCAGCAGCGGCAGCAACAGCAGCAGCAGGAGGAGGAGGAGGAGAAGCAGTAGGTTTCACAGCAGTAGAAAGCGTATTTGCCGCACCCGGCGCCTCGTGTAGGGGGCTGAAAGTCGAGGCAGCCCCCGCCCAGACCGACTTCATTGACAGCCCTCGATGACGAAGATGACTAAGGGCGGGACCAAAGCGCCTGGCAAGGAGCGCGACAGCAGACTCAAAATGTGTATTGCCTCTAAATATGTATTGCCTGAAGCTGCCACGCCCCTGAAGATTAAAATGCCATGCGCTTGTGTCGCTTTCGGGCGCTTTGAGGCCCACTTTTTCTGATGGCATTCCATCTAGCGCTGTGCGCATGCCTCTAATATTTGCCAAAAATGCCATCGCTTTCTGGTGGACTCCGATGCTGAATGTCGCTGTCTGAGCCATGCAACCAGGTGCAATGCGGTCCCTCCATGCGTGGGCTCGTGTCTATCAGGGATGGGACGGCGCAACACCGGGCCAGCGGTCGGCTGCACGACACGGCAGAGCTGTCAGCTTTAATGCCACAACGTTGAGTGCAGACAGCCACAGTGCACACAGAAGCAGCCTGACATGTGAGGGGCAATGAACTCTCAGTGACGGACGTCCTTTGAAGTTTGACGCGTCCTCAAGCGAGCACTAGCAAGCTCATGCTGATGGGGCGCTTGCCTCGCGCTCTGTACTTACAGGAGTAACGTTGGCAAAGCGACCACGCGATGCATGCAACCCGAAGCAAAAAAGAGAATGTGCAGCTCTTGGTTTCGGCAAGGAAGGGGCTACAGGCCAGCCGGCCGGGGCCCCTCCCACCTACTCACAGGGCGCGCCACGGGGAGGCGGCTGCACGGTGCGCCCCGCGCTTACCTCGCGCCGCCAGACTTACCAGGGTGGGATGGTGGAGAAAGTGGGCCGCGGCCCCTTACGGGGAGCCTTACGGGGATCGGCCAACCGTTAGGCAGACAGCCTTGCGGCCATCCTTTTCCCCCCCGCTCGGCTCCAGGGGCACTGAGCAGTATCGCAGCACCAGGGGTGCAGCACTGCCGCGGACGCCCGTCCACCCCCTGCCCCAAGCGGGCACGGGGCTGCCTGTAGAGGCAGGGGCTGGGTTCCGAGCGCACCCGGGGTCCCGCAGCCCGTGTTATGGGCGATTTGCTAGGCTGGACGAACAGCACTGGAGGACATGTCACAAACCGATCGCTCGTATGAGAGGGACGGAGGACATGTGGTTATCTGGTAAACATACTGGATAATCAATCGAATGTTCTGTTTGTGCGTGTGCGCGTTTGAGGCAGTGAGGAGGTCAGGTGACGATTGTGTTGCACGTCCGCCTGCCGGCGTTTTCACATTGTTTGGATCGTTGAAAAACATCATATGTATATAATCACCAGAATCGATATTGTTTGCAAGCTCGCGCACGCTTGGTTCCAAAGCAAGCGCATGCTTGGCTTGTGTAGGGACATCCCCGTGATAGGCGACCAGCATATGTTATCTCAAGGAACTCTGAGGATTAAATAAGGCCGGTGAGGAGTTGGCGACGACCGAGGCGTGACAGTCAAACACGCCGCACACCGCGTTTGGCGCACTGCTGCACAGCAATGCATGCGTCCGCTCCGCACAATGCTGGTGCTATTAAAGCCAAGCACACCCGCACAAAGGAATCTAAGAATGGTGGCACTTCATAGTGGCACTTGTGCATCATGAGAATTGACCCCGCAGCGCGGCGCAACAAGCCACCATCAGACTCAACACAACATGACTGCAACACCGCCACGCACCCCGGCTTGTCGGGACCCAGGAGACCGACATGAGGGGCGTCGATGCGGCGCGTAGGCGCGTTGTGCGACAAGCTTGCAAATGGGCACGAAACAGGCATCTGGACCTCGTCGAGGACGCCGGCCCCAGGTGATGCGCACAGGATGGAGCGGATGAAATTAAAGGGTCGCTCGGCTAGCCCGACCTTCAGAAGTCGGGCACATCTGGACCAGCAAGGGATGTTTCCAAACGGCGTTTTGTGCAAGCTCGCTACCCGGCGTGCAGGACACGCCAAATCGGCTGATTCGCACCAACCTCGCTGGCGAGATGCGGCGGCGGGCACTTCGCCTGTGTGCGGCCAAACCCCCCGTTGCCCCTCTTTCATCCCGCCTCCAGTGCCTTGCCCTTGCCCGCGCCCAACACCAAAATCAGCGACGGCATCCGCGTCAACCAACTCATCCCGCTCAGGGAAGATGAAGCCGCCGGCTTTGGCGGCCCGCAAGCCGCAGGCTTTGACGGGCTCCCGGCCGTCGGCTTTGGAGACCTCCAGGCCGCCGCTGGTTTTGGCGGCCCGCAAGCCGCCGGCTTTGGCGACCTTCACGCCGCCGGCTTTGGAGAGCCCGAGGCCGCCGCCGGCTTTGGCGGCCTCCAGGCCGCCGCCTTCGGAGAGCTCCAGGCCGCCGCTGGTTTTGGCGACCTGCAAGCCGCCGGCTTTGGCGGTCTCCAGCCCGTCGCCTTTGGCAAGCTCCAGGCCGCCGCTGGTTGGGGCGACCTGCAAGCCGCCGGCTTTGGCGGCCTCCAGCCTGCCGCCTTCGGAGAGCTCCAGGCCGGCGGCTTTGGCGGCCTCCAGGCCGCCGCCTTTGGAGAGCCTCAGGTCGCCGCCGGCTTTGGCGGCCTGCAAGCCGCCGGCTTTGGCGGCCTCCAGGCCCCCGTCAGCTTCCTCGCGCCGCAGGTGGCGATCGGCGGCGACGAGGAGTGGGACGATGATAACTTCGGCGCCGACGGCCGCCAGGGCGAGCTGTTCGCGCCCATTCCCCCGCTGGTCGACGGCTTCGACGAGCCGGCGCCGGCCTTTGCCGCAGACGGCGAGCTGCCCCTCACGCCGGCCGCCACGTCCCCAATCTGGAGGACCCAGATGTTCTGTACGACGCCCTCTTCGGCCCTCCGCCGACGCACGCCGCCGTGTACAACGACAGGGTCGCCAGCCGCGCCGCACAGCGGCTGGCGGGCCTGGTGCTGCGGAACGTGCACCCGCGGCTGGCGGCGCACGCGGGCGGCCCCAGCGGCAGCTTCAGCGGCGGCGGCTTTGGCGACGACTTCCATGCGCCGGCTGTGGTCGGGGTCCGCGTCGACTTCGGCGCTCCTGGGTTCTGGCGCCTACTCGGCCTGGCGGAGGCGGCGGGCGGGCCCCCGCTGAGCCTTGAGCCGCCGCCCTCAAGCGACATCCTTGACTTCCTGCCGTTTCTGAGCCGGCCTGGGAGCGCCGCTGCCTGTGGGTTTGAGTGCCTGGGCCCCCGTGCGGCGCTGGTCGCGCCTGTGATGCTCGGTGGCGGGCTGACGGGCGGCGGCGGCGGCGCTTTCAATCGCTGTCCCCGCGGCAACAACAGCCGCGTGCTGGAGGTGGCCGTTGCGTCGTTCGCGCCTGGTGCAGGCCGCGCCGCCCTACCCCTGCAGGCCGTGGACTCCGAGGCGGACGCGCGGGCGCTGATGAGGCTCGCGCCGCCGGTGGAGGCGTGGGGCCCTGTGCAGCGCGTCACGGCGTCCCCGCTGGTGACGGGCGGGCACGCGCAGGGGTTTGACCTTGACCTCGAGCCGGGTGGCAGCTTCCCTGTCGTCATGTTGGCTGCGGGGTCGCTGGTCAGGGGAGGATTTGGAGGTGAGCGGCGCCGGCAGGGCTGCGGCACGGACCGGGGGCCGAAGAGGCCGCGGCAGGAGCTGCAGCCCGACGCGCCCCGTGACGCGACGCGCCGCGCGGTGCTGCTGCACCTCGCTTTTCTCTTTCTGCATTGCGCGGCCGCCATGGCGGTGTGCAGCTTCCACCCCTCAGCGCGCGGCGACGGGGAGCAGGGGCCGCTGCAAGCCTCTGGTGCTGCTGCAGCGGCGGCCGCAGCTGAGGTGGAGCCCGAGCCGGAGCCTGAGTGGCTGGCCTCCGCGTGGATGCTTGACCTCGCTGAAGGGCGCGTCAGGGTGCCCGTGCCCGCGGCGCTGGGGCAGGCCCTGTTGGGCCTGCTTGACCCCGAAAGCGCCGCCAACGCGGCGCTGAGGGCCGCCCTCCCCCACGCAGGCGACAACAGCTGCTCGTGAGGAGGCGGCGCGGCTCTGCAGCGGGGGCAGGGGACAGGGGGCAGGGGGC